ATGGGCGGCCAATTTAAAGGTAAATTAGTAGATTTATTTTAATGCTGAAATTTATTATATATTAATATATATTTTCTAACGTGAAACAAAACAGGATGAGAGATATATTGTTCTACAAATAATTAAACATTTGGGATTTTATAGATAACTTGCATTTTAAATTAGCATTAAAATTGATTAAATAGATTTTGGTTCATAAAAAAAATTTTGAGAGAATTCCTTCAAACATAACGAATTTCAAAACTGCGGAACGATACACACACGGTTTTGCCTACATGGAAAAAAGGACAGGTAAGTTTAACTTGATACATGCAGACGTTCTTGGTTGTACGATTTGGTCATGAAGTGTCAGTTTTATAAATGAAATTATTAACAATTGGATTAGCCTTTTATTACTAGTTTGTTAATATATATATCAACTAAAGGTAAATAATTAAGAATCTATTTTAATGCTGAAATATGTTATATTACTATATTATTATATGTATTTAATGTGCAACTGAATTCTAGTAAAAATGCTTTAGTTTTGTCTTGATGACAATGATTTGTTCAAATTCTGCTCTCCATCAATAATGAAATCTTGTATTGAAGTTTTCGCTTGTCTTATAAAAATAGATAGATATCAATCTAATAAGAATAAATAATAACTGGAATTAATTATGATATTAATTCATTTATTGCCACCTCAGGCAATTGTTACCACAAAATAGTAAAACTGATAAAACGATTTAATTATTGAACTAGCAATTGCATCTGTGGGCGACTAACGTCGCCCAATTTTTATTTTTATTTTGATGTTGAACCCATCCCTTCCGTGTTGGTTCATTGCTGTTGCAGTCATTGTTACAACAATGTCTGGTGGTTCTAATTCTTCATTCTCAAGTTCCATGATTGTTAAATTCGTCGCCATCACCTGGAAGAGTGATATGTTAGTTAAAAAAAAACGCGCACAAATTAAAATGAAATTTTCCATTGATTATAAAAAAAATTTTTTTCTTTCAATTTTCTAAAACAATACACACCTTCAAGAACTTCACATTCGAATTGTCCACATCTGTGTCATCAATCATAAATTTCCCTCCCACCCGAGCGAATTGGTTTGGTTCTATCCTTTGTAGATTTGTCTTTACATCAGGGTCTCTTGGATAGAAAGCAACAATATGGACAGCAAATTCTTCTCCAGTTGAAGATTTGGTAATTCCAACAGCATTCATGACAAAATTGTTAATTGTAGGAATTTCTCTTGTTTCTGTAACGTAAACAATCAAGTTGATTAAACATGGCATTTTGACAAATAAATACGCAAGATTTTTTTTTTGTGATAATATTTTAAAAAAACATGAATTGTTGTTGGATAAATAATAAAGATGTATACGAATTTATTGTGGATTGTTGTTTTTAATGAACATAAAAAAAAAAAACAAAAGGTTAAGATGGCAGACTTATTTATTTATTTCTTGCGACAAAACAATTAATTAATCTTTATTTTTTTTTTATTTTTTTTAATAAAAAAAAAACAATTGATCTTTATTTTCGTTATCATTGAAAATCAACCTTTATTTTTGTTATCATCATACATGATGGCGAAATAGTTTTGTTTCGACAATAATTTCGACGATTAAGGTTCAAACATTTCGAACATACCCTAACAGGTTTCAAAAAAATCAAAATCAAAATCGAAATCAAAATCGAAATTTGTAATCAAAATTCGAAAATCGAAATTAATAAATAATTTTTGCATTAATGTCTTTAAAGTACTTTTATTTCAATTTTTTGAATTTCGATTTTGATTTATTTCAATTTTGAATTTAGATTTCGATTTTGAATTTAGATTTCGATTTTGAATTTCGATTTCGATTTTGATTTAAATTTTGATGTTGATGATGTTGATGATGATGATGATGATGATGATGATACTGATGATGTCGATGATACTGATGATGATGATGATACTGATGATGATGATCTTGTGTGTATTGATTTTATTGATAAATATGCACTATTTGTCTCATTTCCAGTATCAATTTCGCTTGGAGATGACCAAGGATGATGTCTTGATGGAAGTTCAGGTCTTATTCCTTCATTAACAGCATTCTTGGTAGTGGAGATGACTTCATTGTATGAAGGTGGCAAATCAACAATCAACGTCATCATCGATTCATCATCCTCAGGAGCAGATGTAGGTGGTGATCCAGGCATGCCGATTTTTGGATAGTCAATTGCTAACAATTTATCAACAATGCTTCTCAAAAAACTATTATCATTATAATTTTTATTGGGATTTGAACTAATTTCTTTTTGTAAACAGTTACGAATATAATCAGGATTACAATCTGGGAAAATCAACCGAAGCTTTGTAACAATTTTTTCAAAGTCTTCTAGTGAGATAGCTGTTGGAGACGATTGAGTTAATGAGGTTGTTTGTTGATTGTGATTATGATTATCAACAATATTAGAAGAAAGTGAGGGTGGAGGTGGGTATTGTTGATTATTATTAATTCTATGATGCATATTTTTTAGTAATAAAAATAATTTAAATAATTGTAATAATTTTTTTTGGGTAATTATTTTTTCGTTCCCGCTCACATTTATAAATACTTTTTTTTTTTTTTTTAAATAAATAAAATAGCCACATTGCTCCAAAATTAGTTAATGACATAATTGTACAGAATATCCTCCTTACTTTAATTTAAAAAATTGCATTTTACACGCATATAAAATTAGTGCAACATTTGAGTATCCATGCTGGAATTCCAGAAGGAAAATTCTAGAGAATTTCTATTGCCAAGTAAATTTTTATTATTTGTTATGTGTGTGCTTTTTTAGCAACTAGTAACTGATAATAGCATGAATGCATGAAACAAATTTATGTTTGTTATATTGTTAATATTATAGTATTAGTATTAAGTTTATATTAATGATCTGCTTATGATCTGCCATCTGTTTTGTTTTTTTTTACGGATATAGATAATGAATGAATGAATGACATGGGTAGTATAGAGAAATGCATAATAATAGTGGGAAAATAATAGTACTGGCTGATCATAGAATTGTACAAGAAAAAAACAATATTTTATTGACACGAGACAAAAGGCAAAGAATGCACCTTGAGGAATAAGTGAGCAAAGATAAGTGGCTTCATAAATTTTTTTAGTCAAGGAGTTAATTAAAAAAAAACATGGCAACAGAAAGCATTTACACGAAGTAGCAAAACGCCAAACGAATAAGAAAAAAAGAGAAAACATAAAAACCAAGAAAAGAGCAGACATAGATGGGCGCACCAATGAAACATTTATTTTTAGTTTTCACTTTATTCTTCGAAGATAAATGTAATAATTATGAAAATAAATTACAGTAGCAGAAAAAATAAATGGATTATTTTAAAAATAAAATTTGAGCATTGGTAAAGGAGATATGGTAATAGTAACTAAGTAAGGAAATAATGGCAGTAATAATAATAGATAACAACAATAGCAATTGTAGCAGTAATAGCACAAAATAGCCATAAATGTATAAAACCAACGAGTAGTAAGTGACTTGCGTTCTATTGTTATTCTTTTGGTATTAATGGTGATTCCGAAATTTCCAATGGAAATCAACAAATGTAGCTGACTTGTTAAGATTGTTATTAGTTAAATCAGTTTAGTTAGGTCTGGTAAGGACCCTGGACATTTTAAATTATCTGTTGTCACCTTCAAACAATGACTAGCAATAATCCATACATGATTGTGGCAAATTTTGTGGGACAACATTATAGTAATAGCGAAACAGTATCAATGAGTCAATTGAAGCAGGTTGAAAATAAAGAATGGCGAGAAAAAATAATTGGATATAACAGATAATGTATATCCTATTACTACCACTATTAAAAATATTTGTTGCGCATAATTTCCCAGTTAAATTTTTTATTAAATTAAATAATGCATATTATTACCATCACATCATCAGTTAATCATTCAATCCGAGAAATGATTTAATACTGATTATAAGAAGTGCCTTTATATCATTTCCTAAAACAATTATCATAAAAGGTATTAATTAGTATCTTTGATACTTATAGCTTCATTGGAATTCACAGGTTTGTGAGATCCGTGAATTTATCTTGCTGGTGTAAAACACAGGATCCAGCAATACATCAATATTTAACAATTCATAAAATTTTCTGCAGCTGGTCATTTATTTGGATGTAAAGCACCATACTAATCCACATAAAATTTTCGCGCATCTTCATTGAAAAAACCTGTAACATTGACCAGATGACACTGCTAACATCAATATACCAAAATTGTATATGTTTGATGCGAATGTATATTTTTGATCTCTTAAAACTTCAGGCGCAACGTATGATGCAACACTCCAAAACATTCTCAGCTTCACTTTAATTTTTGATAAATAATTTTTGAAGATTCCTACATTAAATATTTATAAATTCATATTTTGTATATTTTGTAAAATTTTTACTTTTTTATATGTTTTATTTTTCAAGAAATGAGGTAGATGCACGTGTAAGTAAATATATTACCATTCAAGGTTGACTTATAACGAATTACCTTTAAGTCATTGTACTGAGCTTGTTTGCTTGTATCCAAAGGGTCTGTGAATCTGACTTTTTTATCGTAAATTAGCGAGATTTGTATTTTTTTTAATGTCTCTATTATTTAATTTGATTATTTTAACTTGGTATCTTACTTGATTATATAGTAAGAAGATGGAGAGATTTCTATTGATAATACGATAATAATTCTAACAATAATGATTCTGATTCCATATATATAGGGTAAGTATGTCTATCTCATAATTCAAGAAATGTTGGTAAATGTGTTAATCATGTCAAAGGAGAATCATACTATATATATTAAATCAAGAAAGGGTTTATATAATTAATTAAAATTTTCATTTATTCAATTTTATTTTATATAGAAAATTGTTATGGAAGAGCAACAGAACCAAAGATATTGATTCTAATGTATACAATGAAGGTATTGTTCAACACAACAGGAAAAAACTCTTTTAGTTTGGTAAGAATAATCTTTTTTGAATATATATATATATATATATATATATATATATATTCATTTACATAATTATACATATGTCATTTAATAGAATTCCAATTGAGAATTTGTAGAAGTTAAGAATAGCCCATTGTTTATTGTAGAGCCACAAAATATTGAAAGTAAGAAATCCGCGATTAAATATTTTGATATTTTTCTTTGTGAATTTTGGTCGCTGGAAAGTTGTGTCACTTGTGTTGTTTTCAATGGTGAGTAAATAGACAATGGCAAAACGTATCCCGCATTTTCTAATGCTATGAACGCAATTAGCGAGATATAACTTCTTTACGGAAAGTCTGTAGGTCAGTTTAAAAATCACGTTATGCCATTGTATGTAGTTCCTAACAATCTTACAACTCCAAGTTTTTTATTTTTGATGCGCAAATATGGTATATAACTTCAATAATAAATAATATTGATTAATTAAAACATGAAATATTGAAAGAAATCTTGCAAGATTTTATTGTATATATTAGTGATTTTAATAATTTCATTTTAATTATATAAATAATTGCAGTTGCATATTACTCTACCTGTTTGTTGATCAATTTACAAATGAAGTGTGGAAATAGGTAATGAATCACAGTCCCTGTAAAATATGACATCAATCGGAAGTATTTTGGTAATACACCTTTCCAAAACAAGCACCTTAATCATATTAATTGCTACGCTGGGTGGATTACAAAGCTTCTGTTATTCGAATTATTCATTTTATTCGAATACTCAAATTCATGACGAATAAAACAAACAATTCGAATAAACCTTATTCGAATAGAAACCCCAAGTGTTGAGCGTTTAACATCGTAAATAATAATTCTATAAATAAATAAAATAATAATGATCTATCTACTAAAACAAATTTATAATGATTCTATACCAATTATAACAATCAAATAGTTGGTAGCTGTAATCTGTTTAATTAGATGTCACGTATTTTATCTTCTTTGTTTAATACAGGTCTAAATTCAGTTATATTAAAATTCTATTGGATAATTTCATCTCGATAATCGATAAAATAATAACTCTCTTATTTTGTTATATGCATCATATAAAAAATCTCGCACTTTGGTTAAAATATTACTATTACGTATAAAAATGAATTCAAGTTTTTAAATTAAGCGGAAATACAGTGAATTTGCAAAGTGCCTTTAGCTAATAATAATTGGGAATTTTTCATATTTCAATAAATTTTTTTTATCAAAAATTTTATCTTTTTTATAGAAAAAAGTCATGAAATTCAAGAGCAAATATCGATAATGGCATAATTCGATAAATTCATAAAATTTGCTGTGCCAGGCCTACGAATTTAATGAGCTTTGACTGTAATAATAGTATTCATTAATTAGTATTGTCAAGTGAGAGCATCAGTTTTACTCATGACAAATAATCATATATAAAAAAAAATAATTAATTAACAATTATTAATAAAGGCGTGAAAAAAAATTCTAATTTTGGAATAGAACATTTTTTGTCCGATATAAATATTTCGAAAATCTTGACAATTATTTATTAGTCTTGGAAATCTTATTTATTTTTATCAAATGCGCTAACCTACAGTTTTTCAAAAAAAGAAATCTTCTACAGTCCGTTTTAATAAATAATACAATATGCAAATTGCAATTTTTGAATTTTGCAAACTGCAGATTGCAAATTGCATATTGCAAAGGTTTGTTTCTGAACTTTTGGTAAACTGAATTTTTGGGGAAGAATGAGAGCAAATTTGAAACACAAAACATTGTGGTGAACAAATTTTTTTTTTGTGTTGACACAATTCGTCAAAATGATCAAAATGATCATCATCAAAAAACTTTTGTTTTTTTTTTGTAAATAGTAATAATAGTAATAATAAATTTTTATAAATTTTAATCATGTTCATTGATTGTTGTCGGCAATTAAAAAACCATTGATTTTGTTCTTTTCTGCTTATTAATGATAATAAAATAATATGGTGATAATTTTTTTCCCTAGGTTGTTGTTAATTATTTAATTAATTAATGTAAATTTCTGCGATTCTGAAAATTATTTTGATCGTGTCACATATTTACGAAAACCGGTTTACGTCGTGTGACTGTACAAAAAGCACGTTAATGTTTAAATATGTATTAACAAAAAATGAATTATTTTTAGAAATATCGGAAGAAAAATTTAAATTATTATTATTATTATTATTATTTTTAGAAAATATCGGAAGAAATGTTTCTTTTAAAAATAGTTGAAGCCTCCTTGGAAATTTCAATTAGTGCTATTGTTGTGAGAACAATGACTTTACATTTTGCAAATATCAAGAAAGAATTTCCAGTCTTCTTTTTTTAGATAAAATGAAATTTCTTTTAATTTCAGAGATTTCTACTATGCTAATAATGTGTAGTGGGAAGGAAAAAAACCAATCAATCTAAGATTAGAGAAAGCCCGTTATCTCCTATTTACACAGAACCAATCATCTTAAAAAATCCTGAATCCAAAAAAAATCATCTTTGTTACTGTTGTATGTGAAATTGAAATTATGTAAAATTGAAATATTATGGAGTGGGGTGAAATTCTAATTGGCTAATTTGAATTTCACATATCTGAATTGCGAATTCATATAATTTCATTTTCACGTATAACATTACCATCAACAATTGAAATTCGTGAAAGGTAAAAATTTGGCTAATCGCGAAAAATAAAAAAAAAGAATTAGTTGATTTGTTTTTTTTTAATAACAATAAACAATAAAGTTTGATTGTTTATTTAATGATAACAAAAATAAAGGTTGATTGTTCAATGATAACGAAAATAAAGATCAATTGTTTTTTTTTATTAAAAAATAAAAAAAATAAAGATTAATTGTTTTGTCACAAGAAATAAATAAATAAGTCTGCCATCTTAACCTTTTGTTTTTTTTTTATGTTTATTAAAAACAACAGATGTTGATGTTGATAATGAACAAATTCGGTTGCCTTTTCTGTTCATTCTGCCGTTGTTGATACTGTCCTCTCCAACCAGAAGATTAATTTTGAGCTTAACAGGAACCCTGCAAGCAGAACTCAATTCCCTATCCAGAACGCTTTTGGTCTAACAGTCCACAAGACACAAGGGTTAACCTTTCCAAGTATATCTGTCTGCCTTGACCAACAGATATTTGCTTCTGGACAGGCTTATGTTGCTCTCAGTCATTGTGCCAAATGGGAAGATCTCAGAATTAACTCTCTTTCAAGGGAGGCGTTCATGGTTGATCAATTGATGGTTAGGGAGTATGCTCGGCTGGAAGAAATTGCTGCAAAATCATTGTCTATTAACAACAATTCATAATGATAAAATGAACATTTGTCTTTATCTTTTTTTTTTTTATAAAATCATTATTATTATATACATACACACGCATTCAAAAAAATTATTTTTTTTATTTTTTTTTCTGATGTTGTGGACGTGGTAAATAAATAACTTAATATTAATATATATATATATGGTATATAATAATAATTGGGCGACGTTAGTCGCCCCACAGATGCAATTGCTAGTTTATTTTAATAATATTGAAACATACAACTTTAGCAGAAACCGAAAATCAAGATATAATTAACAAATTTCAATTTTTTAAAAAAAGAATCGACCTCCTCTATATTATCAATCCATATGTAAATTATTTATTTATTTATTTATATTTATATTTTGTTGTATATATAAATAAAAATTTATCATGATACGATTTAGTTGAAGTTGACACAGAAGAAATAGATTTTACAAATGAGGCAACCATAAAGTTTCCAGAGAGTAAAGAAACATTTGAAATTAATTATAATGAACAAAATGGGGTTAGTGCGTGTGTATTTATTTATTTATTTATGTACTTGCGTTGAATTCTAGGCGGAGGATCGTAATAATAATACTTATCATCCAGAAGCCATTAAAAAATGTTTAATGATTTTTGATGAGGAAACAAACATAAATATTTTTTTTATTTAATTAACATTAATATTAATAATTGAAAAAAAAATTTTTAATATTTTATTTTTTGAATTTAGACATGGTCATTAGAAATTGTGAAATCTAGTTATCATGTTAATACAGGTGAATTTGATAATTTTGAAACATCTAGTGAACTGCAAGAATTTGCTATAAAATTTGGCGAAATGGTTGAAGATTACAATGCTGATGTTGATTTTAATAATAATAATGACAATTATAATGATATGGAAGTGGATGAAGATGATGATAATCCATGGGGAGAGGATTATTTAGAAGTAGTAGAACCTAATACAATACAAAAAATAAGACACCTACAAAATGATGATGATGACAATGACAATGATGACAATGGTACAAGAAATAATTCATCAGATTCAGCTTCATCTGATGATAGTAGTAGTAATGATAGTTCATCTGAAAATGGTAATGACAAGGATGATTCAGATTCTGGGGAATCAACATTGAATCCTGAATTTGTTGAACTCACATCAATGATGAAAACTTCATTGAATCAAGAAAACAGAATCAATAACTTAAATTGTACTAAGATAAAAATAAATAACAAGGTAAGTTAATAAATCTTGTACATGTAGATATGAATGATATAGCATATATACATATTAGTTAATTAGTCAATCAATCATCTGTTGTTTGTTTGTTTAGTTGAATGTTGCAGCAAATCATAATTCATGTCCTATGTCATTAGAACAATTTTTGGGTGGTGGAGGTATTTGTTATTATAGTGTTTATTTATTCCATGTTTATGAATTAATTATTTAATTAAATGAAATTTTTGCATTTCTTTTAATTGAATAAACAAATGGTATGCAATAATCCTCATGAAGAAAAAGAAGAAAATGATGATGAAAATGGTTCCTCATCATAAATAATAATCAACTTTTTTTTTTTTGGAGGAAATAATGAGATGGATAATTGTATTTTATTTTTCCAATATTTAATATTTATAGAAACCTTAGATAATTTTTAAAATAATCCTGTGATGATGGTCAATTTATCATTTGTCATGCTAATCAATAATAAGTAAAAAAGTACATTTACATAGATTATTTTTATTTGATCATTGATTTTTGTTTTAATTATCATTTTATTTTATACATTTATACATTTTAAAAAAAAAAATTCATAATAAGAAATATTAAGCAAATAGCAAAAGATAAAAAAATGAAGAATGCTTTTTTAAATGCTTTTTTAGCTACAATATATATATATGTACATATATATATGTTACTATTGCATAGGAGACATATTCAAATATTCACTTAATGAAAATGCAGTATCTGGTGTTTTCATATCATTAATTG